CGCTGTCGCTCCACCTTCGTTTCTCTTTACAACTCAACCTGCTATGACTGACTGAGACATTGCCTCTCGTCTGACCTGGATGTGTGATGAACCAAACAGCTGTGAGGTCAGCTACGAGCGCTTCACGTGTCACTGGGGATTACCTGGAACCCTGGAGACCCCCTGAAGTCCCTGGACCTCAGTTCGGGAGCCGCCTATGAGAGATCCACCAGGACTGATGAGGTCTGTTGGATCAGCTCACAGCTGGAGAACGGAGGTGAGGCCGACGCTGCTGCAGGAATTCAAACAGGAACAGCGGAAACGTCTTTGTCATGGAACTGAAAACAGCAACACGTCTAATTGTTCCTCGGATACAGATGTGATTTAGGTTTTCAGTGTTGAAGAACCTCGGGTTCAAAACCAGAAAATATAGATGCACACCAAGAAAACAAAACCAGACTTCATTTAATATTCTAATATTTAAATATTTTTCCTCTTGACAGAGACGAGGGCGGCGTGTTCATTTCCCCTCCAGCAGTCAGATGAAATGTTTCTCATTCACTGTTGGTGAGTCAGGTGTCAGAGAGTCACATGGGTTCATGTTCAGGACTCGGCTCCAGCTTCAGCAGCAGAGACTCGGAGTGAAGCGCTGGATGAGTTTAAAGGGAAACGTGGACGAGCTCTTCGGCTCATTAGTGAGTTTCAGATGTGTGTTTGCATCAAACTGCTCAGGGACACATGATGAAACCTGAAGAGAGATTCTCTGAGATGGAAATAACAATCAGTTTGGAGAGAAATAAAAATGAAAAGTCATGCTGATGTTTTCAGCTGCTTTAATCTCCTGCTGAGAACCTGAACCTGTAAACTTCAGTTAGATCTTTCTCAACACGACCCTCCTCTTCCTCCTCAAGAGAGGAGCTGGTGTGTATGTGTTGTTTTCATCAACCATGGTAACATGTCATTGGTTGCCTGTTGATGACATCATATCCTCTGTGATCATGTGTCAGTGTGTTTGTCTGACAGAAGCTCAACACTTTTTCCACCTCAGTGGTTTTTGGCTCGTTATTAGAACCAGATGATTTTAGTCGTCGGACGTCTGGATCTGAAGTTCTAAGAGAAACAAGCTGCTCAGCTGCAGCTGCTGGAGACGTCCTGACCTCTGTCCTCTGGAGACATCCTGTCCTTTGGAGACTTCCTCTCCTCTGTCATTTGGAGACATCCTGTCCTCTGGAGACGTCCTGACCTGTGTCACTGCAGAGCATCAGTGAATCTCTGATGTCTGAAGTCAAACTGTTTCTCCTGGTTTAATTTCCTGGTGTGTTTGTTGTGGAGAGGAGGAAACCTCTGTGGAGAATTCAGCTGCTGCTAAAAACCTGAACCACTGAAGGAATCACACCAAAGACAATAACTCCCATGATTCCACGCTACTTCAACGTCTGTTTGTTATTGTTTTGATTGAGAGACCCCTGGAGACAGAAGTTAATTAGTCATTGCTTTATCACTGAAGTGTCAGGATGACCTCTGACCTCCAGGCCGTCTTTAAATATTTAAAAAGCTCAGTGGAGTTCAGTTACTGAAACATTTCCAGCTGCTCTCTGATGAGTTCCTGTCTCTTTATTCAGAGTTTTATTTCTCTCTGAATCCCCAACACATCTGCTCCCAGAGCCCCGCCCTCTGTCTGATCCCAGCCTTGTGATTGGCTGACAGATGGAGAGACTGTCAGACCTCAGAGAGACACATGAATTAAACATCCTCTGTCTTTAAAACTCTCAGACCTCGTTAGCAGGAATAATTATCCAGACAGAGCTCCTGTTAAACTGATAAATTAAATCCTTCCAGACTAAAGACTTGGGGAGTTTTACCCACTTTTTTTCTCTCTGTCCCTCACTGGTGTGTGTGTTGATAATTTAACAAACCATGGACACTCTTAATTACATAGGATAAAGAACAGATTACATAATATAATAAACACAATTCATTCATTTTTACATTAATGATCCATTTTTTTTCTGATTCTGCAAGGTTTGGATGGTGGGTCCAGGTGGGCGGGGCTTGGTGACTGCTTTGTTGTGACATCACAAAGTTCCAGAAGTCCTGACGGCTGGTTTTAAGGCTCAGTTTCTGAATACAGGCTGTGTGCATTTCTCTGTGGACTGAGGCTTTGATACTTTCACAGTATTAATATAGAACCTAGACCTGATCTATAATCAAACAATAATCATTATAATCAATCATACCTTTAGACTGGTTGGAGCTTTAACAGACTCCTCCTCACCTGATGTCGACTGTGATGGAGTTTTATTGTAGTTGAACAGATTTACAGTCTATTCCACATTTAGTTCAGCCTCTTCAGCTCAGTCATTCTGAAAGAAATAATGTTGATTAACTGAAAGAGTCTCAGCTTTAATCTGAGCAGCTTCACATCTGTGGTGACAGGACCGTGTGACCGAGTTAACCTGTGTTACCTGTGTGTGCAGATATCCCAGAGGACCCTCAGGCTGCTGAAGTTTACTACAACCAGGATGGATTTGACTCGTGTTCAGAGGATGAGGAGACGGAGACACCTGCAGAGACACTTTACCTGTCTGACCCACAGGTGAGTCTCAGTGGTCAGCTGATTTAGTTGCCCTCCAGATTTTGATCGTCCTCCTTTGTTTCGTAACTTTTACAACTTTTCATGCACCAAGTTTCCAGTGATCAGTAACTCACTTTCACACACAGGAAGTCAACACTTTATTTTTAAACTGTGGAAACTGATCGAGACAAAATCCACTATTCAGTTTATCCATCATTCTTCTCGGGTCGCACTGGCAGCAGGTTAACAAAGGTCGTTCACACATCCCTCACACACACACACACACACACACACACACACACACACACACACACACACACACACACTGAACATGATGTAAGAAGGTTCGTTTTGTGTCTCTTGTTTACGTTCAGCTCGTCTTCATTATTATCCTGTGTTGAAAAGGCCAAATATTATAATGTTTATCTCACTAATTAGGACAGCCAAACATAATGTGTGTGTGTGTGTGTGTGTGTGTGTGTGTGTGTGTGTGTGTGTGTGTGTATGTGTGTGTGTGTGGTGTGTGTGTGTGTGTGTGAGTCTCAGAATTAGCACGGATTATCATGAAACACACAGGATTCTGTAGGTGGAGGATCTGGAGGAGCTTTTGATTTCAGCTGCTGGTTTCATGTGTTTTAATATGACGAGAAGCTTGGTTTGTTTTTGGGCTCAAATTATCATAATATGATTCTCACACACTGAGCTGAGCCCAGTAAAACCTCTAATTAGAGATCTAAGACACACACACACACACACACACACAAGGATAGGGCGTCCTAACCTGCTGTTAACTACGATGCACATTATTAGCAGCTTATTTGCTGTGAAAGAAAATAATTCAAAAAGTGCATTTGTGCATTTTTCCTCAGCTGTTAATAATAATTTAATTTATTCACTGTTTTTAAAACCAAAGTTCACAAAGCTGCGTCTCAGCAGATAAAATGAAGATGTGGAAAATAATAATCCAGGGTTTGAATAAACTGAAAGGAAACACAGAGGAAGAAACATTTGAACTGAAGGGAAGTAAACTGCAGGTAAAAAATTCAGGATTTTAAAGCAGTTTTTACGTATTTTGCCAGATTCCAGCTGCTGGACTGATCGATCAGGTGATCGATCATCAGCTCAGCTCAGATGATCACTTGGACTTCTTGCAGGTCAATACTTCCTTCTTCCCTTTTCCTTCTTCATTTCCCTTCACAGTCAATTTGCACAAAGTATCTGCGTCTCTCTGTCGCTGCATTTATTCATTTGTTTAATTTGAAAAACTAGGTGGTTTTTCAGATTATTCCACAAAAGAAATGGAAACACTTTGCGTTGAAGTCACATGACATCCAAAGACAGTGCAGACGATTGTCTTTGTGTCTTCCGTCAGATACCAGAGGTTTGACTTCCTGTCATGACTGGACCACACGTCTTCATCACCTTCCATTAAACGCTACAGCAGCGGCTGTGGTGAACGACTCAGCAGATGTTGGAAATCTGTCGTCATGTTGAATTGGAACGAATCATGAGAGGAGAAACTCAGCTTCACTCTCACAACCATCCCTCAGCGGAAACACAAACATCCACAATGTGTTCTGTCGACTTTTCTGAAAAAGAAAATCACTTTTATTCTCTGCAACAGAAACGTGTCAAACCTGAGGACAGAGTCCGGTTTGAATAAACTTTACTGGAGCTGTCTCTGGACGAACACGAGCCAGGCGTCAGTGTTTACGTTCAGTGTGAGCTCCACACTCCACACAGTGGTTGATCAGCTGAGTCACACAGTGAGAGAATAAGAGATCCTGGTCGTGCACAAAGGAAGACGATATCTCAAGCCTGAACTTAAAACTAAAGCTAAACCTGAACCTGAACCTGAACCTGAAGCTGAAGCTGAAGCTAAAGCTAAAGCTAAACCTCAACCTGAAGACAAAGCTAAAGCTAAGCCTTCAAACAGCTCTCTCTACCTGCGGGGACCTCATGGGTCAGTGTGTGTGTGTAGTCCCCACCAGGATATAAACGTAAGCCCACACATACACACACACACACACACACACACACACACACACACACACACACACACACACACACTCTTCCAGGTCTACAGCTCAAAGACGAGTCAGATCCTATTGTTCAGTAAACAGGACCTCTGCATCCAGGTCGATCACAGTCAGTTCAGTACACCGGGCCGAGGGGCGAGTCCAATATACTATATATATATATATATATATATATATATATATATAGAGAGAGAGAGAGAGAGAGAGAGAGAGAGAGAGAGAGAGGTTTTGAAAGCCAGCAGCCAATTTGTGGTCAAGTTTAAGAGGGTGGGAGGCTGAGAAAGATTAAACCTATTTGTCACTGCTGATAGTGATGACAGGAAAAAACGGAGAGAGGAAGAGAAGAGGTGGAGCTGGATTATTAGAGAGAGAGACAATGAGAAACAGCCTCTAAGACTGAGCCTTTATCTCTGGTTGTTGTAGAGAGGAAGAGGAGAAGGAGAGGAGAGGAGAGGAGGAGAGGAGGAGGAGGAGGAGAGGAGGAGGAGGGG